ACACACACACACACACACACACACACACACACTTTTATTTCATGTTCCCTCCCAAGAAAATTTACTTATCCAAGAAAATGAGCCACACATCCCTCCTCCAGAGCACACATTAATCTCCCAGTCCACCAACAACTCATGCCCTTGAGGTCCCTCCCAAGCTCAGCCAGACTCACCCCTGGAGCAGCTTGGTAACTCTGGCTCCCATTTGTTTAGATTCTGGCACCGCACACGGGTGGGTCCTTTCATGACAAAGCCAGGCTGACATCCAAACTCCACCATTTCATTTAAGGAAAATAAGCTTCTGTTTTCAGTTAGCATTATTGCATTTTCAACGTGTGGAGGGGTGCATTTATTAGGTACGATGCACTGTGGGGGAGGGCCGCTCCAGACACCAACTTGATTGTCATGGCTGGTGCAGTATATGGAGGGCTCTCCCACAAGGTGAAAGAGCTTTCTCCCTCTGTCTGCACCATTGCAGCGATAGGTCACCACCATTCCGTACAGGAAATATTCTCTGTTAGAGCTAAAGAAATCTCCATTGGCAATGGCCGGAGGTGGCTCACAAGGAATTCCTGGGCAAAAGGAGAACAAGCTAAATGAGAATGAATTTAAATAATGAGTGAGAAAAAATGCAATGACTCACTAACTTAACTATTTTTACATTCATTATCTGCTTTTTATCTTTGCTAATGTGTAAATGAGTTCTTACACAGTTTAACTTTAGGTGGGCAAAATACATCTGTGCTACCTTTTCTGTGTATGTCCTGTAAAATGCACATTTTTTATTAATACAATCCACCCTCTTTTCATTTTAAATAGTTATTTATCATATTAGAGTTTACATAGTTTTCCTGTTTCCAACTTGCTTCATTAATTTCTATTTTTGTTGTTAATTGAGTATGGCTTTTTAAAAATATAAAAATGTGTGCTAAAAGAAGAAGCATAAAAGAAGAGAGAAAACACTCATATATGAGAGTAGGAAATAGAATATGAACATATTTATAACATATGTGAGTATTTATGAAGCTGTAGACTACTGTATGTTAAACATTTTGAAAATCTAAATGATATGAATTATCAAAATCCATTCAAAAAGATGTAGTAAGCTACAATTGGCCAAGAAACTTGTAAGAATAAAAGAAAAAAAATGACAGATAAGTTCTACCAAACTTTCAAGAAACACATACTTCTAAATGTAACTCCAAACATTTCACACTACCTAAAAGATAGAAACCTTATCAATTCTCTTTATCAAGCCTAAGTTTGAGATCATATCTATGTAAACGTGATCATATATTTGTTCACTAAAGCCCCTAGGTACATATAAAATATAGAAGTTATGCATAGTCTATTGTATTGCTATAAACTAGAACTAAATAACTTCAACTAATACCCTAAAACACTTGAAATGAAAAATTGAAATTCTCAAGAAGGTTTCTGCTTCTGTAGTGGTCATCTCAATAATTTGAGTCAAACAATGCTTCTTCTCTCCCCCCGAAGAGACGTTAGAAATGCTGGAAATTAAAAATATATATCTGTGAAGCCACAGAGGCAAACAAAATGGCAAAGCATTGATGGGCCCAGAGCTGAATATCTAGGTATGAGCTGAGCATTTGGGTTGCTTTTCCCTTGGGAAGAGGCAGGTGAATCAGGAGGAGGCAACTGAGAGGCCAAGTAGACTTTTGATAGTCTTGCAAAATCAAGGGACAAACATTACAGTTC